CAATTGATGCCTTTTGGTTTATCCAAAAGGTCCTTTATTTATATAAAATAATTTATGGTTAAGTTATTACAATGTGGGATATGTTATACATGTTGGATAAATATGATATAGTGGATAATGTTGATATATCTGAGAACTCTGTTATCTCTGCTATCTCTACAATCTATGTTTAGTCACATGATCAGAATTAAGAAATTAAGAAATTAAGGATAATTCTGGGCTGTAACACCACATTGCATATCATTATCTAAATGATAATTGGAAACAGATCATTTTTACTGACAAAACTGCTTTTTAACTATTCCACAACACAATTAAACCTTGATATAAAGGTGTGAGACCAATTCATCCAATGCTGAAAGATAGATGTAAAATTCTTGCATGTGGTGACTTTAGTATAAAAGAAAAAATGAATCTCTTTTGTTCGAACAGATAATGAACACAAAATTTTACGTTGAATATTAAGAAAACATATACAGTCCTGACCTTAATCCTATCAAAAATCTTGGAGTATCATCAAAAAAATGTAGAAAAATGAATTATGATGAAAGAAGTGAATGATATTCCAAATTAGTCTAGTTGAATGATGATGTGAACTGTTGTAAAAAAAATAATTACATGTGATATATATACGTAATACAGTTGACTCTCGATATAATGATCATGCAGATCCTATTGTAAACAATATAAATTCAATAGAATCTGCATGATTGTTATATCGAGAATTAACTATAATTGTGACTTCATTTTAATTTGTATAATTAGTCATGATATATTACATAATACATAGTACTAAATTAAAAAATACAGATAAATTACCCATATATTCTAAACTTTGTATTATATTTTAACTTGTATTGTCATCATCAATACACCATGACTTAATTGTTTAGCTAGATATATTTTAAATAATATAAGTTTATTGTTATAAATATTAATATTAATATTAATATTATAACCTGTCTGTCTGAAAAAAAAGAAGGAAATCTTATCCATTATACAAATATCAGCCAGGGAGAAATAAAAGATATACATCGTAGTAATAGTAATAATTCATGGATCTGATGTGGAGTATGCCTAATCTTTATAATTATAGCGACAGCTATACTTACTCCCATTATTTATGGCATAGTGATTACATTTAATTTGATCAGCAAATATCCTGTAGAAGGCTCGAAAAAGTGAGAAACTTGCAATGATAGTTATTACCTTCGCGTATTCATTATTGGAGCTCTGGTTAGCTTTTGCTCTGGAGATTTAGCGCCAATATTCCCAATAGTTTGGGCTTTTATGGGTCATAATTGGCTTTCTGGAGCAAGCAATTGTCAAGTCAATGATCCTGCATTATATAAAGTGATTTATAAAACTTGGATTCTAATTTGTATTGGTTGTGTGATGGATCTTACTATCTGGGTTGGAGTCTGTGACACCTATTATGGTATTTGGAGCTATACATTATGTGATTCTCACAAGAAACTTCAACAATAAGTTCTGCAATCTTCTCATTAAGAATTTATATGTAACATTATGTTATTGTTATCCTTTATACATATAACACAAATAATTATAGTAAATGTCAAAAAGAAATAAGTACTATTATGAATGTTTTAATTATCACTATCAATTTTATAAAGCTGAATGATTTAGCACAAATAAAGGTATCGATAGTCTAGTAAAAGAAATATTTAATGCTAAGAAATTAGTACACTATTTAAAAGCAAATTACAATCAAATCTTGTTAAACTGAAGTTGGATCCAGAAACAGTTATAGTAAGTATTCCTCGATAAACCAAATTTACTAAATAAACCTTGATAAATCAAATTTTTCAAAAACAAACTTTAATTTGACAACCACAAATGATATCCACAAAAAGATAATTGACCTGAAGGTGTAGAGAAAAAATGTAAAAATTAAAAAATATTTTGCTATCCATTATTTGTAAAGAACTGATTAGAATATTTCCTTGTACATTGCTGGTAATAGTTATTTGTGGAATTTGCTTCTGCTTTCAAGTGGGAATGATTTTTAGGCTCAGTCATTTAAAAAAATTATTTTACTCATCATTAACTAAAAATAATAATGAAAAATTGGTGTTTTGGAATGAGACCAGCCCTTAGCACCGACTGATCATTTTCTAAAAAGTACTGGCAATGAACTATTTTCCCTGTAAAGAGTATTTTTGTCATAAAAGTGCTTGACTTCTGTATTTGGGATGGGAACAGGTATTACTATTTTTTACTAATGACATTAACTACTTCAGTTTAACGAGGTTTGACTGTTCATTAGAGTTGATAAATGAGTAAAAATGGACCATTTCTAAAGTATGAGCATGGATTATTAATGTTTTTAAGCTTAAATTTTAATCAGTATTAAAGATAGATACTAGCATTATAAATTAAATAAGCAAAAAGTATAATCAACTATAGCTACTTTCACTTGCTTCATTTGGAACATATTGATATCAAGTTCAATAGTGGTAGTATTTGAAGAATATCTTTTTTATTTTTTTGACATCTTGATTTTGCGAGATTAATTATTAGCGACTATAATGATAAGAGTTATATAAAGAAAATATGAAAGACAAAAAGTATTTGAAAGAAGATTTTTGTTAAGAGAAATTTTTATTTTCAATTACAACATGTCAAGTTAAGGCTCAGATAATATTTTTATTTATACATTTTTCAAAATTACAAAAGTAAAATAAATAATTATAATAAATATATAAAAGTAAAATAACTAATTATAAAAGTGAAATAACTTATATAAAAGTGAAAAGTAAAAAGTAAAATTTCAAAAAAGTAAAATAACAAAAGTGAAAAATAAAAAATGAAATAATAAAAGTGAAATAAAAGTTAAAAATTAAAAGTGAAAAATAAAGTAAAATAATTAAAAAGTAAAAAATAAAAAGTAAAAAATAAAAAGTGAAAGATCAAAAAAGTGAAATAATAAAAATGAAAAAATGAAAAGTAAAATAATAAAAAGTAAAATAATACTAAAAAATTTTATTATTATATAAATATTTTTAGAATTTTTATGTTTTTTAATTATTTTTGAATTTGTAATTTTTATACTATTATTATAACAATATACTTTTATAATAATAATTGAAAAAATATTGGAATTAATAGTAAAAAAATGTTAGAATTATAGTGAAAAAATATTAGAATTAATGATAAAGAAATGTCAGAATTGTAATAAAGAAATATAATGAAGAAATATTAAAATTGTAATAAAAAAATATCAGAATTAATAGTAAAGGAATATCAAAATTAATAGTGAAATTATAATAGAGAAATATCAGAATTGATAATAGAGAAATATCAGAATTAATAATAAAGAAATATTGAAATTAATAATAGTGAAATATTGAAATGTAAGTTAAAAAAAAGCTGGAATATTAAGTAAAAAAAATTAAAATAATATTAAATAAAATAATAAAAAATTAGAATAAAGTTGGTATAATGAATAAAAAAACTAAAATAATAAATAAAAAAAATCAGAATATAAAGTAAAAAAAGTTGAAATAAAATTGAAATAATAAATAAAAATAAAGTAATATTAGAAAAATATTTGTCAGAGCCAAATTGACAAAAATCTAACCTAAAAAAAAGCAAATATTGCAAAAATTATTATTCAGATAAAACTGATAATTTTTTATTTATTTTATTTATTTATTTTCTTTTTTGAATACTTTTCAAAAACAAGTTACAACTTTTTTATTACTACTATCATTTTTTCTAGTTTTTTTATTTCTTTTTCTTCTAGTTTCCTTATTTTTTTATATTTTCATCTAGTCTTTATTTTTTGAGGCTTGCTTTTGATCTCTAATAAAAAAAAATAAAAATAAAATAAAAAGAAATAAATAAAAATTAAATAATTATTTAACTTATCTTTATTTTTTTTCAAAATAATATAATTATCATTATTATTATTATTTCAAGTCTATTATTTGTTTTTTCTTCCAGTTTGTCTTCTTTTTGTTCATTTTTTCTTTTCACTTATTAGCATCTATTTTTGCTTCTGGATGATTTATAATAAAAAATAACTAAAAATATTACATTTATAAAATATCTTTACTCTCAATTATTTTCAGTTTTTTATTAAATCTTGATAATTGTATTTGGTATTAATGAACAGTAGTTATTTTTTGATAATGTCTTTTTTGGTGATAATCAAATAATTACTGTGGATGATGATAATAAATTATTAATTTTTATTAATAATATTTTAGCTTGTATAGCTAAACTTTCAGATATTTTTAATGTTAATACTATTAGTTCTTTTTTTTTCTTTGTATATAACTATGAACTACATTAATATCTTATTCACTAATAATATAACAAATATTTATTCAATTTTTTATTAGACATCTATTTGAATTCTAATAATTTTTTTGCATATTATTAGATTTGATTTATTAAAACTCTAATAAAGATTTTTATAACCAGATTTTTGTTATTAACATGATGAATCTTTATCAAAGCTGAATTTTAATATTAACATAATGAATCTTCATCAAAGCTGAATTTTTGGTATTATTATAATAGTGATGATATTACTTTTGAAATCTTTTTGGGTGATAATAACAGTTTCTTCTCTTTTATTTTTTTACTTACTTTTTGTATAACTTGTTACATTAATTATTACAAATCATTTTTAATATCTCATTTAATAAAAAGTTACCTTTTAAATTTGAAAAAATAAAATTATTTATTTTAAACTAAAAAAAGAATTAAAAAAATTAAAATAATTGAATGTAATTTTTTTTTGAATTTAATTATTTATTTGTTACTTTATCAATAACTTTTTTATATTTTTCAGAATTTTGTTTGAACAATAGGAGTCTGAGTTCAAATTGAAATTTTGCTCATTTTCTTAAAGAATTCTAAAAGTAATGACAAAATAAGCTTGAAAAAAAATTTGAAAAAATATTTAGTGAGCTCTAAATTATTATTTATTTATATTTAAGAATTTTAATCATATTATATTTCTATTTTCTTCTTTTGCTTTAATAAAATTTTTTTTTGTACAAATTTAAACTTGAATCTTTTAGATACTAAAATAAAAGTTTAATAATTTTTTAAATTGATAAAAAAT